AACATTTTCCTTTGAATGTATGATGAAATATTTTTCAGTGCAGTCAACTACAATTGCTACAACTAATTTAAATTTGTTATGACATAGTATAGTTTGAAATTATAGTTTGTTGGCGAAAATATTCATCATCAGTCCGGGATAAGAAAGACACTTCGTTATATCCGTCAGTTCGATGTAAGCGTGTTTGTTATAAACGCAGTTCACTGTACTCTAATACTGCATATATACATGTATGTATGTACTCCATTTGATACTACGTTGTCACGAAACAGATCCTGATCCATTTTCATCTGAGTGAATATAAAAGTGATAGTGGAATATATTTAATAATCGTGTTGTAATATGAATACAAATTTGCAAATATGAATACCGGTTTGATAGTCGGTAATTCTTCCACAATGGCGTTTATATGTGTTCTTAAGATCTTCAAAACGTAGATTATCATGATACATACATCTAATATAATGAACAACATGGTGAAAGTGAGGCGACCAAACCACATCCATGAGGCGTCTTCCTCCGACTCTGATAATGGCAATTCACCTCCGTCACAGATATTAGCAGGGGAAGGGTAACTGAAATTTTGTTGTTTGAGTTTATAATTTTATAAACTCATGTTGCAGAACCTTTTGTTATGTTGCAGATCGATTATGGTATCTGCGCGTAGATTTATTATCCGTTGGCGTTGTTCAAATTTAGTTCAATAATCTGAAAACATGTGTTTCTATCACTTTATTTGTCTGTATATAATTATGTAAACAAATCAATCACATTTGGAAATCTGGAAAAGTAATTGGGCTTGTAAACAGTATGTTTCCATGGATGTATCTAGATCTGGACATACCCAGAAGCAAATATTCAACAGCTGATCTGCAGCAATTCTCAGTAAAGTTTCTCTCTTCAAAATCTGTACACAATGATAAACTGACACTGAATATAAGGAAATCATTTTTTAAATCATTTCCATTTTACTTTTCTATATGTACTTTGTTGTTGAATCCTAATTTACATACAAACTTCCACAATACTGGACTTCATGAACTGCCAGCGTTTATGTACAGGTATGTCACAGTACCAGAACACAAAAAAGATCCAAGATACAGTCTGCACCTGTACACTAGCTGAGCCATCTTCCAGAAATAGGAAACATGTGATGCAAAAAATCTTGGAAAAAAGAGATCCACAGTTATCCGAACAATTGACTAGCATTAAAATAGAATGTTACACAAAATACAAATGTAGATCTATTGTTTTTCATCAGAGACGTTTAACTGCTAACTAATAGTGTAAATAAGGTGCAAAGAATATATCCTATGTCCAAAGCTTTTGTCAATACAATTACATATTGACATTATTGCTTCTTAATTAAACAAATGATAATCTTTGTTTTATTAGATCTGAGACCATATCCCTAGAGGACATAACACTGATTTTGATCTATTTCCTTTTCTGAGATACTTACTGGTGTCAAAAAAATTAAAGTAAAGTTGATTCAAAATTTGTTAAAAGTCATAACAAAGGTTTAGGAAAACAGACATGAAAATGTCCTGAAGCATTCACCTCCTACAAACCAGTGTGCAATTTAATATGAAGCTCATTTTCCAAATAACCATCAACAAGCCTTGAACAATTTGTCAAAATCCATCATCTTAATCAACACTAGCTTTGGCTCAGTCTTCAAATATTGATAACCTCCTAAAAAACTGATGAATTATCAGAAGAATTACATCAAATATGGGTTAAATATATGTTTCAATATTTATTCCGTTACATGAAAAGTCAACTGAGATTTTGTGTTATTCTGTTCCAGGCCTAGATTTTCGAAACTCTTAGCGCTAAGATAGTCGTAAGTTAATGTTAATGCATGGCACTTCCGACTATCTTAGCGCTAAGAGAGCTTCGAAAATCTATATGCCCTGCAGGACTGGATAATGCCTGACCAGGGTTTGACCAAAACGTAGCCTTTGCTTTTTTCAAATTCTCTGGATGTTGAAATAACTTTAATGAGTTATGATATAGCAATCACTTTCAGAATGATCTTATTAGTAAATGTAGTATTTAAAAACATCTAAAAGCAGGAGCCAAGAATTAACTAAGTTAATACCAAGTGATTGTCCTGCCATGATATGTATAGTGTTTGTTTGCCTAGTTCTGCCTTAAAATCATAAGAATCTGATATGTCAATCAATTTAATAATTATTTATTATTGATTAGATTATTATTAATTTTATTACCTTTTCACGTTTACTAAAAAAGCAAGATTATTAAAACATACCTTGCTATCATTTCCAGTGAATTAATCAAAATTACTGTTGTAATATTACTCCTAAAATGTACAAATATATGTGAATAATTTATGTGGTAACAAAACTTCAAATAATGTTCTCATAATTAAGATATACACTTTATTTCACTCCGTCCAATACTCCAGAAAGTCGATCACTATTTTTCTCTCATAGTTTTCGTATTCGATCAACATGGAGGAAGGTAATTCAATCCAAAGTCCCATGCAACTCTTTATAAAAAAGCTGAAATATTTAAAGCATGGTTTTATAGGCACTCATATGAATTAATTTTGATACTTGGATATTGCATGATAGGCAACTGCTGACACTGACAATATTTCCGTTTGACTAAAAAATATTACTCCTCGAATATTTTGCTCTGTTAACAAGATACTGTAGGCCTTCAGATTGTGCTTATGAAACTTAAAACATCCTAAAATGTGTAGGTTTCCTGATTGAGTGAGTGAGTGCCTATCGCGTGAGCTTAGGTTTACGCCGCTTTTAGCAATATTCCAGCAATATCATGGCGAGGGACACCAGAAACGGGGTTCACACATTGTATCCATGTAGGGAATCGAGCTCGGGCCTTCGGCGTGACAAGCAAACGCTTAACCACTTGGCTGCCCCACCGCTCCCTGACTCTGATAAGCGGGCGTTTATGAATCAGTATCAACAAGTGGTCATACACGGTGATCGTAAAGGATGAACGTGTTCAAACCTACCGTTGGTACGTGTAACAAACGAGTTAACTGTTCACCTAAGACCACTGGAACACATGGCAGAAGTCCAGGGAAATAAACAGAAAATCATGTTGGTCACTGATTTGCCAAATGTGGAAACGTCCTCAAGGTCTAACAAAGGCCAAATTCAAAGCCTGAATCGTATGATGCAGTATTGCCACTAGATAAGCCACCAGATGCAAAGCCTGAAACATGTGATGCAGTATTGCCAGCAGACAAGCCACCAGATGCAAAGCCTGAAACATGTGATGCAGTATTGCCAGCAGACAAGCCACCAGATGCAAAGCCTGAAACATGTGTGATGCAGTATTGCCACCAGAGACAAGCCTGAAACCAGATGCAAAGCCTGAAACATGTGATGCAGTATTGCCAGCAGACAAGCCACCAGATGCAAAGCCTGAAACATGTGATGCAGTATTGCCACCAGACAAGCCACCAGATGCAAAGCCTGAAACATGTGATGCAGTATTGCCACCAGACAAGCCACCAGATGCAAAGCCTGAAACATGTGATGCAGTATTGCCAGCAGACAAGCCACCAGATGCAAAGCCTGAAACATGTGATGCAGTATTGACTCTATAGACAATCTTTCAGATTCTTTGTGACAAATCTTGCAACATGCCACCGGATGCAAAGAGGCACTTCGTTATAACTGAACAACTTGCCGATCTACTGGGAAAACACATGGACAAAAACTGACAGTTGTAGATAAACTTTAAAATGCATTAAATTATTATACAGTTACACCTAAATCAGCATGTGCTCACAGAAACTGTACAGACCTTTAACACGAATACCACAGAGGCGTGGTCACCGTGGAATGCCGTCACGTGACACACGGGAAGTATAGCAGAATGCTGGAAAGAACGTCATACGTCAATGACTGAGTGAGACTATTGATACCATGAAGAATGCATAATGAACAATCGGGAATAATCTCCCCATGGTTATTTCTCTCGACATTCTGAATATCCTCTTGATACTGAGTAACAAGGCCAAGACTGTATCGCTAGAAAGCAGAAGAGTCAGGAGTTGCACCAGATACCTGTGGGTAAAGGTGGACAGATGTCGGGAGGGGACATGTGGAGGATGGTGGTGTAAGGGATGTGTAGTATCACATGGCTATATATCATTGTACACAGATATATAATAATTCCTTTACAATCATTCAGCCATTTAAACAGAAGATAAAATTAAATGATACCAATACCATGTGTGTGAGTGTAGTGTTATGCCGCACTCGGCAATATTCCAGCAATGAATATTCCGGTCTGTAAACAATCGAGTCTGGACCAGACAAGCCAGTGATCAACAGCATAAGCATTGATCCAAGCAATTGGGATACGATGACATGTGTCAACCAATTCAGCGATTCTGACCACCTACCTCCGTTTGTCGCCTTTTAGGACAAGCATGGGTTACTGAAGATTAATTCTAACCCGGATCTTCACGGGTTACCATACCAAGACTGATACAATGACTTAATTACCCATGGGCAGACAGGAAAGGAAATAGCTGTTTCAAGTAAACCAGCTCGGTTAATTAGCGCACTTTTTACAATGTATAGGGCCGCTCAACTAATGATAATAGGAGATGAACTTGATGAAATATGGTACGTGCTCTCTTTCTCGTCTCTCTCTCTGGTATTCTAACAGTTTGCGCATGTGGAGATTCTAACCTGAGTCTTCGTCGTGACGAGTGACTGAGTGAATCCATAGGATACTCATCTCACAAAAAGGCGGTAGAGCCCGATGATTAATGCGTCCGTTCGTCACGCTGAAGACCCAAGTTTGATTCCCCACATACGTACAATGTGTGAAGCCCATTTCAGCATTTTAGGTGTAGCCCACTTTACAGATGCATTGGGTAAAGCTACTGGCGTAAAACCATACACATTCAACTCCACTCCCCCACCACACACACACACACACACACACACACACTCAACCCCTTTCCCTACTATATCCAAATTATATATTGTGTAACACAGTAATGTCATGTAGGAAGGTTTTAAGTGGTATCATGCAAAGTCTTTGTTTGTAAGTCCTCTGCCCTTCCTCCTAGCCTTTGCAAGTATTTTAGATAGGTCTGAACGACCAACATTGTCGAAGGCACGCTCCAGTTTTTTGATAAGAAGAACAGTGTCCATCGTTGTACTCATGTTCTGGTACCATCTCAACAGAAGAAGAAACACGTCATTGGCGTCTTGGTCTTTTGCTTCCTGTTTGATCTTACAGATTGTATCAAAGTTCATGCCGAGAGAAATGAGGGCATCCTGGCAATCTCGTAAAGTGACGTGCCTCCCTAACACCAGGAGACTCTCTTGCGTCAAAACTGGATGTTCTGAAACAGGAAATGAACACGTGTTATCAAGAAATTAATGGAAAACAGCTATTTTTGGCATGATGATTGACCTCAGTTTAAGCAAACTTAGGTTCAGTATTATTCGTTACACTGCTATACTGAGTCTAGCAAACCTTTATAGAAGGTTGCGTAAGCTAACCTTTGAGCAACCTATGACCGTCCATTCACACGCGAGACGGCCGAACGGATTTATCGAACTAGAAAGAGTTTTTACTCATAAAAAGAGATGTATCCCCCTTTCCCCAATTCAAAGTTGAGACCTCAAATAATTCATTTGATTCCTTCAATTTCAAAATCTCTAAGTATGTTTTGCAAAATATACCGAGAAAGTTCATTGTGTTTTAAGTAGTACATGTATATAGCTGATGCATCTAAGCTTACTAATAATTGGTATTAAGTATACAAACTTTGGTGAAAATGGGTGAAGTGGTTTTAGATTTATGCTCCGAACACAAACACTACCCTTCAAGAACACAAAGTCCAACTTGTTGCCATGATAACAGAAAAATACAATTGGAAAAACCTCAACCCCCAAAATGAGCATCTACATGATATGGAGTGGCAGTATACCAAATTTGGTGAAGAAGGGTCAAGTAGTTTTAGCGTTATGTACCGGAAACAATGGAAACGCCGACGCCGAAACTCAACCAAAAAGATATGTCTCCCGACCCTTCGGGGAAAGACATAATCAGACAACGGCTACTATTAAGGGTTAGGTGGGACTTACAAAATGGTTTTTGAATTTTTTCTTCCCGGTCGTTGCCACTGAACTGATCTCTCAACAAACGAAACTCAGCATGAAACACAGATATTTGACCTGCAGTATACACGCTTAGGGGTTTCTGATGACATGGTTACTATTAGCTTATATTTCCGCAAGATGACATCCTGAAATACTGACAAAAACGCTGTTTTCTCATTGTTATGGATAATGGGGTCCTCCATCTGTATCACTCGGAAGCAATCGTGCGGAAAATGACATTCGGAATCATTCAAGTTTTCGAGGTAAAAGTTAAAACAGTATGAGCGAATGTTAACCTTCGCGATTTGGTAAGCTGTGTTCTGATTACCAGAATAACGAAGAAAAATGTGGATCACTGAAAATGACACTAGTAAAACTTTGAGCATTTTGTATCAGAAAGCACTTTGTATCCACTTTGTAAGGTTAGCTGGGGTTTGTTAGACTCAGTCAGCAATAGAAAGCACTTTGTATCATCAATAGAAAGCACTTTGTATCAAACGAATAACAGTGAGCAATAGAAAGTTTACATAGAAAACTATCAGCAATGACCTTTGTATCATCAATAGAAAGCCTTTGTATGTCAATGAAACTAGAAAGTTCTTATGGTCAGCTTGTGATCAGCAAGAACGAAAAAATCAGCAAAGAAAATGCGGATCACTAGAAAGGTATCAAATGACACTAAAACACTTTGCATCATCAATAGAAGGAACTTTGTATCAGCAATGGTTGCATAGAAAGTTTGTCTCACAAGTCAAAAGCACTTTGTGACAAATTGTATCAGCGATCAGACTATAATCAAATAAGACGTTCGCGATGTTATGGAATGTACTGAATGTACTGAATATATATATATAGTGATATCATCTACATGATGATATGATGTAATTATTTTATATACTTAATGTTATGACACACTGTTATGTATTATGATTATTACGCATTTAGTTAAAGTAGAATATAGTGCATATATATTAGGTACATATTATGGATAGCATGAGAAAGAGTGTATGTGTACACCTACGTGTATGTGTGTGTTTAATATATATTGTATTTAATTGGTTTATTTTATGATTAGGTCTTAGATGCACTTATTTGCCACTGGTGGCTTTCACTGTGGAATACCTGCGTCCCTGAGAAGAAGTTAGTATTTATGTGTCAAGGAATTGTATAGGTTATGTTCTGTATGACTGTAATATGTAATATACGCTTATAAATATACTTAGACTGAGTAACCCTTGAGGTGTACAGAAAAATGTTTAACGTAATTATATGTTTACTATATACTTGTTGCTGTATACCAGTAATTTGAGATATGTTTATGTTTTGTTTCAAGGTTTTATCACCATATCCACGGTAATTGATCCTCACATCATCCCAGACAATAAATCCCTGAACCCTTTGCAAGTATTCGTCTGTACACAATTTGGACGTGATACCGCTGTAACAGGCATATGACAAGTTCCTTTTAAAGTATGTGAAATTGAATATGGTAGATTTAAGAAAGACGCATTCGTTGACCTAAAAGACAGGCAGGGTGCTGCTTCAGAGAAAGTGTATTACCTGAAGGAGATGGAGATGGACATGTAACTGCCCCTCCTGGCCACGTGCTTCCCAGAGAGTTGCTGCTGGTGGGACGATTGTGAGACGCCGAAGCAGGCATGGACACACTTCTTGAAAGTCTTGATCTGGAGGAACTAGATGATCCCTCAGATCCCTCAGATACCTCAGATGTGCCGCTACCCATTCCACTTTCATCACTTGAAGCTGACACTGTCAATGACTCACTCCTCATTGGCGGTGTTGCTACACTGCGTGTGTTTTCCTCTCTCACAGATTCTTCAGTGTTATAACCAGTATCGCTTGCCACACAGGATGGCGATACTACCTCGGAAGGTGCTTCATGAGCAACAGGGGTAGGGTAGCATTGGGTTTCTTCTCTTGTTGCAGGTCTATACGTGCGTAGATTTTTCATATCCTTTAAATTATATCCTGCATCAGGATAGTTGAAGTGGACTTCGTGAACCTGTTGTCCAGCTATTGAAACCTCGACAACGCTGTAGGCAGATCCACTAATTACCTTCTGAGTCCTGAACTGGATGAAGTTGTTCCTCGACTGGTGACTGTACTGAAACGAGTACTTAGTCTTCTTTACCTGTTCTGCACTCCTCATATTCCTGCCAGATGTACTCGTATCCTGTTACTTTGATTTTATCCAAAAGACCCTGATCTACTTCTAGAGATCTCAAAAAGTTCCTTTGTTGCCTTGATTCAGCTACCTGATCTGCGGATTCGGATCCTACGACCTCAACAGTTAGCCACCTATCTTTGTTGTCTTTTGAGACGGAATATCAGAAATAGTGCATTTGTCCACCCTCCCGGCCTGGAAGAGAGCTGCTTGTATCAGAGCTGCTGAAGGTAGACCTCGTCGAACACAAGCCATCTGACAACTGAAACATAGCATCAAGTTCTGGAAAGGTGGCAATTTCTTGGATTTCCGGTTGTTTTGTTGGTTCGTTTTGTTTGTCTGCACTCAACAGTTTTCAACATCATTTCATGGCGGCGGTCTGTGAATATTTGAGGATCGGACCAGACAATCCATTGATTGATATCATAAGGCATCGATCCTAAGCAATTGGGATATTGATGACATGTATGTCAGATTGAGCCTGACCATCAGATCCCTTATAGTTGCCTCTTTGGTGAAGACCAATTCTATCATGGATCTTCACGGGTCCGAAAACAAGTTACAGAAAATATGTAGTTATGTGATGGAATATAAACAATTCTCTATGTGATTGCTAAGTGTATGATATGTCACATTTTTTGTCAGATTTAACTTTTGAAAGTGATATTTTACTGTTAAACATTCATTATAGTTTTGCACTCAACGTAAGGAATGAAAGCACATACACAACATCAGTTCGTGAGCACATGATATCATCACTATTTAGGAGATTCATTATGAGTGAGTGAGTGAGTGAGTTTGGTTATACGCCAGTTCCATGCACAGTTTCACTTTACTTCAAAAGGAACGTCATATATGATGACCATGGTGAGTGAGTAAAAAGTAATGCCGCTTTTAGCAATATTATAGCAATATCACGGCGCGGGACACTAGAAAGGGGCTTCACACATTGTACCCATGTGTGGAATCGAATCCGGGTCCTCGGGTTACTCCACCGTCCAGGAGATGTATAAACACGCGCTTACTGTATCGTCCAAATCGTATGCTCGACTCTGCCTAAGGCAGAGTTTCCTTGTTGATGTGAAAGGGGTTTTGGCGATTTACGTGTTTCAATATTCTATACGTTACCTTGTAGCATTATTGACTGTGTGGGGCATTATAGCGACGTCTTTCAAGGAACTCTCTTTCTTCAGATCTCTGACGACGTAATTGTTATTTTCAATGCTGATGGACTTCAATTCATATTCCTCTTCTGTCAAATCAGCAATTGGCAGCTCGACAGTTGTGTCTATGTTGAATACTTTTTCCATTTTGTGTCGTACACTCAGAATATCGGATAGTGCATAGATCCCTTCAAATGCTGAGGGGTCATACACTCTGTACCATTCCAGTCTGTTTGTGTCCACTGGTTGCACCTGCAAGGAGATGAAGTTCAACAAATGCGTTTTGTGTTGTCTACTGGATGAGGATGTGAGTGAGCGAGTATGGTTTTACGCCACTTTTAGCAATATTCCAGCAATATGGAGGAGAATGACATGAGAAATGGGCTTCACACATTGTACCCATGTGGACGATCAAACGCTTTAACCACTAGGCTGCTCCACCTCTCCGAGATGTGAGTTGAGGCATATTTATCTATGGATATGCAGTGATACAGCATTATTATTAGCCCGTTGGTGTGTAATATTCTATGCATATCATACAAATAGTTGTTCCTAAAGAATGTAACTAGATGTCTACATACAAAAACATTGTTGCCAGCATATAAAACAATAGTGTCAAAATATAAGCAACTTCTTTTCAACATATATTATCAACTACCTTGACGTAGATCTTCATCTCGGTGTCCACAGCACCTTCTGCGATGTGCACTTTGATGCGTCTGTCCTTATCAGAGACGAATGTGAAGGCATTCCGAGAAATTGTCTCGACCTCGGGTATTGGGCGTGCATAGGCCACGAAGTACTTACCTGCCTGTATTTTGAATTTCAGAAGACAATCCTGAAAAAAGGATGCCAATGAAAAAAATCACTCATTCGCTTTTACAGCACAATGGACTATGTTTAATCAAATGTTTTCGCTGGCATATAAACTGCTCTCCTAGTGCAGCTGTGAACAACAGTGCTCCAGGCATTACATTGATTCCTCCATCAAACTTGGTTTGATTGACTTGATTTCTCGTGGCTTTCGGTCTCGATTTTAGATGATGTTCAAATCCATAATGCTTGAATTAATTGATGAAGGTTATAAATGTTTGACGACGAACCACAGATTCCAAGGTCTGATTTCAATTTGATTGAAATTGTTTTGACGAAGGTTTAATTAGTATGATGACTTAAGGTAAGGTTAAGTAGCCTTTAACGTCGCGTAAAAATATTGCACTCATATTGCGTCAGGTGTATGTCTGTGCGCGTGATTGCGTGAGTGAGCTGGTGTATGCCCGTACGAGTCCGGACTAAAGCCGGTTTGCCAGTGCAGGCTAAAATAATAATTATGTAATGAATTTACAGAGACTGTTCAACACCTTGTGAGTGGATGCCCTTCCATGGCACAAGCAGCATATCTTAAAAAACACGATGGCATGGCTCGTTGTCTGTGGCTTTGACTCCGAGGTGATCCTGGATCATCATCAGCTCAGGGCCCTTGCCCCCTTTACTCGCAGCCAGACAGCGAATGGGACTTCTCCCGGGAAACGCTGCCTAGTCGAACCCACCAAGAGAGTATGTAGACTCCCCAACACTGCAGCCTTCTGCATTACCCAGAGTGTCGGAAGGGTTGTGCTCCCAGTGGAGAACCCGGGCACTCTCCTGATCAGGAGGTACAAAACCAATGGGGAGTCTGACGACAGTGTACTTGGGATGCAAGCGAGACATTTCAAAGGCGAGGTCCGCATATTTAGCATGCTTATCCTGAATCTTGCAAATCACACTGCTGTCAAAAGGGACAGAAAATTCAATAACACAAATAAATTCAATTGCTTTATGAAAAAGGACAAGATCAGGTTTGTTGGCTGGATTTCTTCTGAGACTGTATATGGGCCTATTCCAAAGAAGTTTAAAGTTGTCATTTTCCATGACGCCCTGGACATGTTCAGGTTCAGAGCCAAAGCCACAGGCATGGTAGAGACGGTAGTAGAAGCAACGAGCAGTGCCATCATGTCGTTTAAGATATGCTGTTTGTGCCAAGGAAGGGCTTCCACTGACAAGGTGTTGGACAGTCGCTATGAATTCATTGCAAAGTCGACATTTCATAATGATATTTTCTTTAAGAATCATATTTTGGCGATTGCGAATGGGAAGTGACTGGTCCTGAGCAGAAAAATGAAAACCCTAACATTTAAGACCAACCGACTTCATCCAGGCGAAGGAGTCGGTTGGAATTCTATTCTGTTCAACACACTGCATGTACACACAATGCAATGGTTTCTCAGAAGGTTTCTCCACAAATGATCGCCTCTGAAAAGACTTGGTGAATAGGTTCACCTGGTTTACTCCCATCGCTGTCCAGCAGTACATTGCCATCAACAAAATTAACCTCAAACTTCATATTCTGTCCAACAACCTTGGCACGCTTGAAATAGCTGTGGAATTCCTTGCTTCCATCATGAGTCTTCACATGCATCACCAGAGGATCATCCGATAAATAAATATGTGTAAAAGTACACAATAAAATTCTGTCGTGAAGAGCCTCCACATTAATCAAACCCCGACTTCCCGAATTGATTGGCATATTATAAACGATAAAGACAGGAACGAGGGTGGTGGGCTCTGTTATCAGACATGATCCTTCTGGTCAGGCGGTCAAGACTTTGGATGTCTTGTTTAGTCCAGTCAACTACTCCAAAGGAACAGGAAAGGACTGGCACAGCAAAAGTATTGGTGGCTTTGACCTTGTTTCGAGCCTTCAACTCTGAGCTCCAGATTTTCTTAAAGCGAGTTTTATACTTGGCACCGAAGATTGTACTGAATGAAAAATCTAGATTGTGTACCTCGTACTGTGCCAAAACTAGTGTCCATCCATCATCGCCACGCACCATGACATGGAACTGGAACAGAACGTGGACGTTAAGTCTCGTGGTTGGCAGAACGAGCGGGATCTTCAGGTATTTTTGCTTGCAGTTCAAAGATTTTATATCCTCGCCTTCCAATTCGTACACCTCGCTGACCATGGTCTCGTCGTGGTAGTGTGGAAACTGAGACAACATCTCCGTGCGTTTCTCAGCCCAAAGTGGGATGGCTTTGCATCTGAATCCTGATATGTTTTCGTTAACAAGCAGCTTGACGCCATTTTGGAGGTCTATAGTTGTCCACTCACTGAAAAATACATGTACATGTGACTGTTAAAATGAGTTGTTTTTTGTTTGTTGGACTGATCAATAGTCCAGCTATATGGCGGCCCTCTATAAATAATCGAGCCTGGAACATACAATTTGTGTGATCAAAAGCTATGTGCATCGATCTACACCGGTGGGATACGATGCTTAATGAGTAAATATTTTAATCAACCTGTCGCTAATAGTGAGTGAATGAGTATGGTTTTACGCCGTTTTTAGCAATATTCCAGCAATATCAGGTGGGGACACCAGAAATGGGCTTCACACATTGTAACCATGTTGGAATGGAACCTTGGTGTTCGGCGTGACGGGCGAACGCTTTAACCACTAGGCTACCCCAGCGCCCCCTGTCGATAATAACAACTGATTTGTAGTCTTATGTATTTATATAGAATTCCCATGGACAATAACTCTCGATTGTTTCCACTAACAGATTCTACTGGGAGTAATGGATAAATTGAGATGATGTAATTTGCATGAATGTATCTCTGAAAATCGACGATGACACCGGGTGTTCGCAAAAAATGTTTATCATGTCCTGCTCTAACGGTAGCATCCGCTTCTCAAAATTTGCATAAACAATTAATATGTTTTAATTGTTTTATGTTTTTTGCTTGATGACACACAGACGTATTATTGCCGAGCTTCTTTTCAGGACACATGCCACTGGAATTAGACGCATCAGTGATAAAAAGGTGTCACATGCAATTCCACATTATGATTTGTACCATATGTTCCCGGGTTGTTTTTCTTGAAGGTGAACAATTGACTTGCCTTCGCGTGTGTTTGCGCCACCAGTTGGGAATGATGCACTCAGGTTTTGGCGAATACTTGGTATCATTCCTATTTGATTCACAGTTCGTGATGTTGTCGAAATTGTAAAAATATATTTCTATATTAATAACAATTATGGCAAAGTGGTATTTCCTTTTATCTACCCACAAAAACCATCAAGTATATCAGAAAGCCATTTAAACCGATGTACAAAAGAAAATACACACTTAGTATTTTGGGATTTTTTTTTTAAATCAACGTTAATACAATACGTACGCAATGTTTGTGACTTTTCAAAATATTTAATTTGTGTTTTTGGAGGAAAGTAATCCCAACGTTCCATTGTGTACTATATTTTGTACGTCAGTTCATCGTGTATGAGACAAACTGAAAGATAACGACAAACATACACTGGTTGACTCTCTGCATCTGACTCTTCTTTTGCCTCTTCTTCTTCCTCGCTAACACATTCTTCAAAACTGCTTTCGTAGTCATAGTCATCAGAATCATCATCTGCATCATCGTCGACACCCCTGTCGAAATACCAATTCGTCATTTTAACTGTTGACTGAGACATGTAATCGTTGTTTGTAAATAACATTTGTTTCTGGCAACAAAAGTTAAGTGGCACTTCCGTGACTAAGTACAAGAAAGCCAATAGTGAGGAGATATTTGGGTATGATTTCTATAAAATAGAGGATATGCACTTTAAGTACTGTTAGTTCCTTTAACAAACCAGGGTTAGTGCGTAGAGCGTTCGTTCGTCACGCTGAAAATCCGCGTTCGATTCCTCGCATGGGCTTTTGTGTGAAGCCCATTTCTGATGTTCCCGCCGTGATATTGCTGCAATATTGCTAAAGG